TCCAGTGCACGTCACAGCGACCGGTCATTCCACCATTTGGTCGATTTGCATATTAGCCTTTTATTATATAGGATAGTCTTCCCAACCCTAAGACAGGCCCAAGGCCAATGGCAAGTCAAACAATGTCACGTGAAGTTGCAGTTAACATTACTGGCTGCCCAACGTGAGGATCGGGGGCTTGTTCTTTGTGAAAAACAGACTTAAGGCATAACTGTTTCCGGTCAGTTATTTGCAACTGACAGAATCCTAACAAAGTAAATCATCTGCTCTCTTATCATGACAAATGCTGGGACCCATCTCGCCAACCCATCTCGCCAACCCATCTCACCACTGATGGTTGCTGACATGTGGTTGAGAACCGCCACCCCAGGGAAGCCTGACTCCACACAGACACCAAGAGCACAAAGCCACACATCGAAGGTGTCACTTAACTCGCCTGCCACCTTCCCTTCGGCCTAAGAACCAAAGTTGGGGGCATTCCCCCCCCTTGGCCAGGACTCACTTTGGCACATTTGAGTCATCCTCCACCGGGCACCAGGCTGCCACCTCACACGTCTTCAGAGTCCCGTTGTAGGGCACGCATCTTCCTGTTGCAACTCCTACAGGGATGAGGGAGACCCAGTCCACAGGTGGTCTCCCGTTTTCTACTTCGGTGAAGTAGAGGGTGGCAGCCCTATCGTGGCACCCTAAGCGGTCAGTCCTGAGCTGTGCCAATTCTGGGGTTTACACAGTGCCCCCAAATTGGAAGTGGAGGAACATGGTTGCCTGAGTCCTTGCCACATCTCTGCTTTGCCAACTGCAGGGCTGGGGCGATGCCAAGCCACAGCACAGGGCAAGATCTGGGATGGCTTCTTAGGTGCCAATGGCAGAGGTGACTGTCGAGAGCCTCCCCAAGGATCATGTGAAGGCATGGGGGAGCGTGGAGGAATTTCTCCATTCTGAGATTCCTCTAGCAGGGGAGCCCCTCAGGGGAGGCGATGTGGTCGGGGGCTGCTGTCTACTGAGGGGTTGCAGTCACATGTTCATACCACTGCTGTGGGTGTTGGTAGAGCCGGCAAGACAGTCGGAGTCTGACTGACACACACTGGTCTTATCTGGAAGCTGAAAGAAGAAGGGGGAGTGAAAACAGGTTCCACGTGGCCAGCCCCGCACACAGCGGGTCCGGGTTGGAGGGGGTGGCACGAGGCCCAAGCTTTTTTCCAAGAAGCTGCCTACCTCAGGGCAGAAGCCTTGGGTCTGGTTCATGGTGACAATGATGTTGGTCATGATGAAGAGGGAGCTTTCCTCCTACAGCGGGGACAGAAGGGAGAGCCCTGCCATGTCACCTTCAGAGGAGCCAAGCAGAGCCGCACAGCCAGACGTTCATTTAACAGGACAGTACCACCCTGGCCGGGTAGGTCAGTTCATTAGAGCCTCATCTCTATACACAGGGGAATCTACAAGGTTGTGGATTCAATACCCGGTCAGGGCACACACAAGAATCAACCAATGAATGCATGAGTAAGTGCAACAACAAATGGATGTTTCTCTCTTTCTCTCTCTTGCCCCGCTTCCTCTCTCTCTCTAAAATCAATACATAAAAATCTTTCTCTCTTTCTCTCTCTGTCTCTCTCTTGCCCCGCTTCCTCTCTTTCTCTAAAATCAATACATAAAAACCAAACAAACAATCACCATTTTGATGCACGACATTCTAAAAACACACTATATATGTCACTGCCTTCTTCTGTACCTTTCAATGCTGATCTCTTTTTTTAAACTCAAGGTCATTAAACAATAAATGCGGAAAACAGGGACTCTAGCCAATACCTGTGCGCTCATGTTCACAGTAGCATTATTCACAATGACCCAAAGGTGGGAACAACGCCAGTGTCCACCGGCAGATGAGTGGATACACAATGGTGGTCTATGCCTATAATTGGAATACTATTCAGCCATGAAGAGGAAGGGCGCACTGACACCTGCTACACCTGGACGAACCTTGAGAACGTGATGCTGAGTGAGAGAAGCCCGGTGCACCAGTCTACGCATACTGTAGGATCCCCCTGCTGTGAAATGTCCAGGAGAGGCAAATTGGTAGAGACAGGAAGCAGACTGGCTCTTGCTGCGGGGTGAGGGGGAGGGTGAACTACAGTGGCTGCTTAATGAGTATGGGGTTTCCTTTGAGGGTGACGAGAATGGTCGGGAGCTAGATTGAGGTGATGGTTGCACAGCATCATGAACGTGCCACATGCCACTGAATTTTTCATTTTGAAATGCTTCATGCCGTGACATGCGAATTTCACCTCAATTTTTTTTTAAAAAAAGTCTATAACCTAAAATGTCTCCTTAATAAGCTTGACTACTGGAGGGAAAAGAGCCAGCAAGTGCCCCATCATCCTCTGCCAAATGGATGATCTCGGGGGACAAATAAAACCACCAAACAAACATTGAAAGGTCTCGAATTTGGCTGGTTTTCTTTCCTAACCGGAATTAAAACAAACAAATCATGCCAGAGGAGACTCAGGCAGGGTCGGCCAGCGACCTTCTCCCTTTCAGATGGCTCTGTTTTGTCCTCATAACTGTGGCGGTGCCAAATGATTCATGTATCAGAGTTTCTAAGAAATTTGTCGGGGATGAGACTGGAGAATTGCTAACAATGACCTCCTAGTACAGTGATGGCGAACCTATGACACGCGTGTCACCTCTGAACTCATTTTTTGGGTTGATTTTTCTTTGTGAAATGGCATTTAAAGATATAAAATAAATATGAAAAATATAAGTCTTTGTTTTACTATGGTTGCAAATATCAAAAAATGTCTATATGTGACACGGCACCAGAGTTAAGTTAGGGTTTTTCAAAATGCTGACACGCCGAGCTCAAAAGGTTCGCCGTCACTGTCCTAGTATAAGGAGTAAAGACGAAGATCCCACAGATTCTGGTTGGGCCTCCCCGTCACTGGGCAGCTTTCAGCAGCTCACACCCCAGAGAAGGGCAGAGTGGGCGCTGGAGCCATCTGGGGGATCAGAGTAATTCAAGTACCCAGGAGTCTGTAGGCATCTCCACCCCCCCAGGTCTGACAAGGTGGTGGGAACTCTGTAATAGCTGGCATCTTCGAGAGAAAGGCCTGGAACAAACCATGTTGGGAGCAGGGAAACGGCCACGGGAGGGGGCACAGGTGTGGCAGGGAGCCCGCGTCTGTCCTGGCACCTGTCGGGTTCCCAGGTGTGCCCTCTGTAAACTCTCGGTGGAGACAGAAGGCCGCCCCTCCACCTCTCCCGGGTTAGACGTGAACAATTCCACGTGGTTTACTTTTTGGTTCCTATCTCTCATCTGAGTTTAGGGAAGTTTCCGTCTGGAAATGAGCCAAGCAAGCGCCAGGCAAACAACTGTTTGTGTTTCAACTTCGGAGAAGCACAAGGATGCCGTGGAAGCTGACGAGGAGCTCCGAGGACCCACTTAGCCCCCATGAGACGGGAGGCCGCCTGGCTGCGTGTTCCTTTCCACTGAGGGGCAGAAGCAGGGGCCGTATCCTTCCTTGGTTCCAATAAACAGGCTGAATGACACTCCCAGGACGGGGCCATGATTTGACAGGAAGCAGACGTCTCTCTGTTGAGACAGGGGCGCGCCAACAGGACCAGCTCCAGCAGCTGAGAATCCCCTGTAAGACCCTCCCATTGAGGAGGCAGCAGGGGAAGGAGCACACTTGCAGAGAGAGTTTCTGAAGTCCCTGCCATGCTCTGAGCCAAGAGTTGATAGCTTATCTGCATTTACCACTCTGGTCACCCCAGCCCATAAGCCATCTGGAGGGCTGCATTGGGGTTTGGCTGTGTGGTGCATGGCCATTTACCAGGGCTGGAGAGAGTCAATATTTAACTTGGAGCTTTGTGGGTTCACAGACTAGAGACAAAGACGCTGTGTCAAATACTTTCTTCCTTTCCCTTCCTTCCGGATGGAGCCCTATGCTTTTCATCTCTGGTTGTTGTTAAAGTTTTTTAAAAATATATATATTTTTTTACTAATTTCAGAGAAGAAGGGAGAGGGAGAGAGAAATAGAAACATCAATGACGAAAGAGAATCATTGATCGGCTGCCTCCTGCACACCCCACGCTGGGGATCAAGCCTGCAACCCGGGCATGTGCCCTGACCAGGAATGGAACCGTGACCTCCTGGTTCATAGGTCGACACTCAACCACTGAGCCACACCAGCTGGGCGCTGCTAAAGTTTTTAATGCTTTCTGAAAAGGTTTGCTTGTGGGTTTACAACCATAAAACAAATATAGAATGTGGAAAGGTGATTCTTCTATCTGAATTTTTCCCCCGGACTTAAAATATCTGCCTTTTCACCTTTCAGGGCTTGAGACAGACTGAGATGCCCGCATGGAAAGCTTCCTGTGTTGAAGCCAGCTGCGGTGTAGAGCTGAAGAAACACAGCCGATTGAGTATTATTACCTCTTAGATTGCAAGCCACAAGGAGATCTGTGCGCACTGATTTATTTCTTGGACTAAAACAAGCAAGCAGTCTGGGCACTGGGGATCTTAGAACGCCGGCCATGCCAATCGTTAATCAAATGTGCAAGGTCAGCAAAGAGCAGGGAGCTAAGGAGAGGCTTCCGCGTTAGACAGGGTCGTCATGGGCAGCTTACCTGAGCTGGAATCACGTAATCGGCCACATCCCAGATCCGGAATCCGAGTTGAGAAGTGTTAGTCACCGTCACGCCCTTGGCTTTGGTAGTAACTGAGCTGACCACAGAGTCCACTTCCTGGTAGCCCTTTTCCCACACAAACACCCACCTATAAGATAAAAGGGGCCACTTGAATGGCCATTAGGACTTGGTGAATCTGCACTGATGCCAGGGAGCCTCTGCTAGCCAGAAGCTGGGAGAACCACGTTCGCTAATTATGTGGCTTTGCAAAAGCCGCCTAACTTTGTGAGGGTGTGGAGAGGGGGGCCCTCCATTTCCGCTTCTGCAAAAGAGGCATAGTAGCACCTAAACCACAGGTGATTTGTGGGAAATTAATAAGATGATGCGAGTAAAGCACTTAGCACAGTGGTCGGCAAAGAGAAAATGATCAGTTAATGCTGTCTTTCTTATTAGACATTTGAGCACTTTAAAACAAATTTTTTTTTATTGATTTCAGAGAAGAAGAAAGGGGGGGAGATAGAAACATCATTGATGAGAGAGAATCATTGATCGGCTGCCTCCTGCACACCCCCTACCGGGGATCGAGCCTGAAACCCAGGCATGTGCCCTTGACTGAAATGGAACCTGGGACCCTTCAGTCCACAGGCCGACGCTCTATCCACTGAGCTAAACCCG